TTTTGCGATGAACAGAAGCTAATTTCCAAAAGTTAGTGAAAATGAGTTCCCTTTCTTCCTGAGTTACTCTTTCTTTACACTTCCTACACCGGATGTGACAACCTGCTCTCATTTTTCTTTTGAGTTTAACAGCACCTTTGGGCGTTACGTGGGCTACTCCTGCATTAAAATCCACCTTTGCCTTCTCTTGAGCCCAACCACCTGGAACAGCAACTCTCTTCTTGGTGTTTTTACGTGGTGGAACTCTTCTCTTTTTGGGTGCATTGGGTGCAATTTCTTCAAATGGATCAGCATTTACTGCTGGAGAGGATGACACAAAGGAACCACCGCAATCATGAGGAGGATCAGCAATATCAAAAATATCATCTGAAAAAAAAATGAAAGAGTTGTAAGGCATGTTAGTATTTGTTTGTATCTGAATAAAGTTAAAGAAAAGTATTTATTTCTGAAAAGTAATGTGTTCTAGACACTACTTACTGCTGTCAGTTGAATTCCGTATCCCTGGCCTTACTTCAGTTGGAGTAGTTTCACCAATACAACTTGTAGTGGCAGCCAATGATGCATCAATATCAGATCCATTAGAATCAATCATGTTGTCTGAAAAAATATTAAAGAGTTGTAAAAGCATGCAAGTATTCGATCCTATCTAAATAAAATTAAAAATAAGAATTTGGCATTTGATTTGGAAAGGTAATCAGAGCAATCAAGACACTACTTACTGCTCTCTGTTGAATTCCTTCTCCCTGCTTCAGTTAAGGTGCTCTGACCGACACAATTGAGATTAAGACTTGTGGTGGCAGCCAATGGTCGATCAAGATTAGAGCCATTAGTAGAATCTAACATGTTACCTGAAAACATATTAAAGAGTTGTAAGACATGCTATTATTTGTCTGTATCTAAATAAATTTAAAGAAAAAGTATAAGAGCATTCAAGACACTACTTGCCTCTGTCTGTTGAATCCCTTATCTCTGCCGTAACTTCAGTTGAAATAGTTTGACTGGTATTTAGTCCTACAGTGGCAGGGAAGAAACCACCAGAGTGGTTAGTTAGTAGAATCCAAAGTGTTGTCTGAAAATAATTATAAGAATGTTACAGACATGGAAAGATTTGGTTTGTCTTTAAAAATTAAAGAATGAGAAAAACAACTTTTACTGAAAAGAAATTACGGCATTCTGAAATTCTACTAACAGTTCTCGTGTGAATCAATTTGTGAATAAATGTCACGGGACTCTGCACTGTATGCTGCTCCTGGCCTCGCCTGACCTCGATCAGAAATAGAACTGAAACTGGGAAGTTCTACAAAAAAGAATACAAAACCAGAAAATAATTTGAGTGTAAAGAAAATATGTTTGAGGCTTATGCAATACTCTTTCATTTAAACTTAAGTTTTTTTAGAGTGCACATAAAAGTTAAGTTAAGTAGATTTAAAAAACAAGCTCTAAGATGATAAAAATGCATTGGCATTGCAATAAATAAAATAGTAAACAAACTTTCATGGTACACACCATTGCCATCAAGCTCTGACTCATTTGGGAAAAGGGCGCGTTTCACAGGATGCTTAACTGATGGAAGCATCTGTCCGACATCCCACTTTGACAAGGATGGGGAGCAGCATATGGAAGGACCATTGAACTGAAGAGGTACACATTGAAGATCTGCGGACAATTTTTTTCAAAATATAGGTACAAAACAAATTAAAACTGTAAAAAAACATCTTACATAAAGCTTATAGTATTATAAACTTATGTAAATTTAAAGTACACCATGTCACACCTTCTAATCTTACCTTGAAGTTGAGAAACATTCCAGCTACTAGCCACATTAGGGGAAGCTGTTGCTGTTAGAGGCACACCAACACCAACAGACTATACTTCAGGTGCTCCATACAATGGCAGTAGACCTAATGAACAAAAAGTTTTTTAAAAAATTTGAAGAGATGGAATTTAATTTAAGAAATTTATTGGTCATGCTTTTACCCTCAATTTTCCATCACTGGAAACTACAGGTCACCAGAACATGCATTTACTCACCATATAGAATACTTCAGATTGTGATTGTGGATGAGTGGAATAAAATGGTTGTTATCATATGTATCCCAACGAGGCAATTACTACTGATGAAGGAAAGCAACTATTGAGGGAGTTTAAACTAATTTCCAACTACTACGAATAATTTTGATGGTGAGACAAACATTTTCAGGTATCTTTTAAACTGTATATAAGCTTGGCATGGCTTCAGTTGTTATTTTATAACAAGAGAAGAAAATTATATTTTTATACTTTAAAATCAAGAGCAATTCCTAAACAATGATTCTCACAGCTTTAAAAACAAAATAAGAAATGAAGTGTACCACTAAGATTTGACAATGTTTGCCTCCTTTTGAATGAATACCAGTTTCAAAACTACAATGGACTAGCTAATTAGACTGGTAACCTGTCAAAACTTGTTAGTGGTTCAATGACAGACAAACAAACAATACTTATTTCCCGCAAACAAATTATGTGATAATAAGAGCAACCTTCATCGTTCATGAACCAGTCTGGAGGGGATTCTAATGGGGCGTCACTTGAGACCACGGATACTGTGTCCAGGCCATTTATTGGTTCAGTCTCTTGACGAGCCTGCTGCTCCCTAACCCATGTCTCGGTTCTTGTGTCTGAAAATAATATTAATACATATAACAATCATTTTAAAACAGCAAATTTGATTACGATTTAACTACATACAAGTATTAGCTTTTGCTACCCTCTGGTTAGCCCACAACCGGCAAATTTAACTTAAGATAGATAGAAACATTTCAAGGAGGCAAGCCGATGTTTATCAGCATTTATAGCAGGTAGAACAACTCACCCTTGACAGCTTGCACAGCATGCACAACTTGCTGCTGCTGTTGCTCCTGTTGCTCCAGTTGTTGCGACTCATGCAGCCGTTCTTGATTTGGCCTAGGCCGATTACCTGTAATAAAGAAAACAAAAATAAGCAAACAAGATGTCATTTAACGGGAAATTTCTTAAAAGCACTAAAGTATGGATATTTCTTTAAACTGATCAGTGCCACTCAATACAAAAACCAAACAGACACACGAATAATAACCTTAAAATACAAACCTTTCTCATGACGAATCCGGGCCAAAGCAGCAAGTGGCCCTCTTGCTGGCACAGCCGGACGACGCTGCTTATTTAGAGCAAGTTTCACGAGCTCGCCTGCTCTCCGAGTTGACATGATTAGGCCCTGAAAATATAATATGAATGTCAGTACAAAAGCAACATCAAGAAACCAACTCGCTGCGAACATAGCCTCTGAAGGTACTTATACAGTTTCTGACATTACAGTTAAATATATTCCATATAGACCACTGTTTAGACAAATTGTACAGTTGAAGTGTTCCAAGCGAGCGAGCAATGCTAAAAAGCTGCAAACAGAAATTGTAGGGAGACTCACCGTTGTTGCCAGTCTTCTTCTCCGAAATTTTGATCCGGCGGGAAAGGCGGCGGGTCGGTGCGTCGAGCGGGTCGAGCGGCCGAGCAGCGCGGCGCGGTGCGGCTCGCCACGGCGCGGCGCCCGAATGAACTGCGTGAATTTCGAACTCGAGCGGGGAAGTGCGTTAGTCTTGGATCGAGCGGCTGAACTGCGTGTCTTTCGGATTGCGCGTCTGAACTGCGGTAGTCTTGGATCGGGCGGCTGAACTGCGTGCCTTTTAGTCTAAGGTATCGATTAGTCATAGCACATGAATTTTTGCCTCAAATTTATATTGAGCATTGGATGCTAATAGTTATGGCAATAAACTTATTGTTGTAAACATCTGTTTCTCAAAATGATTTAGGGAATGCTAAGACTATGATTGAATTATTTCTTAGTAATGTACCTGTCCTGTATGGTCCTAAAACCTTTGTGTATAATGTTCACCTTCTCCTTCATTTGCCTCTGTGTGTAGAAAGATGGGGTCCACTTTCCCGTGAAAAACGAAACGTATATGTGCCATATAATTCCCATACACGTCCCGTATATGACCGGAAGATGCTGTATATGTTACATATACAGTGCCAT